CTCTCGATACGAACCTCGGTTTCGTTGCAGAGCATAACTCATAAGAGTCCCTCTGAAGTTTGCGCCCGGAGGCGCCTCTTTTTGCTCGCCAGCCTCCGCTCAACGGCCGTCGCGCCTCGTTGTCCTGTGCCTTGCCGTCGCTGGGCGACTCGGAGCGCGATCGCCGCTCACGGTCCCAGCCCCGGCCGCGCTGCCCTGGGCCTGGCTCCGCGGCGTCGCGCTCGACCTTCCTCCCTACCAGCTGGTCGGCGCCCCGAGAGCCCGCACCTGAGAGCTCGCTGCTCGGGCGGAGCAGACCTCGAACGAGCGCGAGGCGGCCGTCGAGTGGCACGTCGCTCGTGGCCGGAGCGCGTCGCCACGGAGGCGCAGTTGGCCACCGGCGCGAGCTCAGCGACCCAGGCATTCGCGCTCGGCTAGCAGGCGCCGCTCTGCGAGCGAGCGCGCTAACTCCCATTGCGCAGCGAGATACACGCGAGAACCGAAATCGCGCCTCGAAATGACGTACGTCCTAGGACGGCCGACCATGAAAATGAAACCTATGCAGTGCGACGAAACCGAAGCCCAAAAACCTGGGGCCAGTTTTGCTGCGGCGAAGAGAAAAAGGTAAAAGTGTCACCGTGAATAGGTGATATTCGACGGGGAGGGCCACGCCTCCCCGAGCCTGAAGAGGAGCCGGCGGATGCCGTGAACAGGCGCTTTATCCACCCTATATTCTTCTCTCGTTCCTCTGCCCGTGCCTTGGTCTTGTCGTTGTTTCGCACCCATGTCTGTATGGCAATCGAGGCTGCCTTCCCCACTACCTGTAGGTCACTCGTCACCTCTCCCGCGAGCTCCCTTCTCTTTCTTTCGGGTACGGCGGTTAGGAAAAGAAAGAAAGAAAGAAAACAGACAACCCAAGGGAGGGATGGGAGGACGGCACGCCGCCACCACACAGGGATTTTAAGGAGAGGTGTGTGGTGCGCTATCCGTCGCCCACCCTAGGGAGTCTGCCTCTTCCTATCTCTCTTCGCAGTCTCTCGCTGATTCTCGCTGCAATCTTCATGCCACCACGCGGTCGTCCCACCCTCGTCGTTCTCTCCCTTGTCACTTCCTCCTCTGTCGCGTTGTTCTCTTCTGCCCCGTCCTGCGACGGCGGTTAGGAGAAGTCCAAGAGGGCGCACGGAAATTTTTTTTTCCTGTCCGGAAGCGCGATGCGATGAACGACTCTACGATGCACACAGCCGGTCTGACACACAGCCTGCACAGCGCGTGTTAGCCTACTCTGTTCCAGAAATGTCCGCGGAGCTGATACTGCGCTCCAAGGAGCTGTTTGCGCGGGTCTTCCAGGAGCCAGCCAACGTTATCGTCTGTGCGCCCGGGCGCGTCAACTTGATCGGCGAGCACACCGACTATAATGAAGGGTGCGTGCGCTTGTGCTCGCTCCGCGTGCGTGCGCGCGCGCGCGCGCTCTCACTTCCCACCCACCGCAGCGTCGCGTCCGCTGCGCGCACATGCTGGGCGTGCAGTGCGTGCACCGCGTCAGCCTCACACGGCGTGATGCTCCTCCGCCGCCACGCAGCTTCGCGATGCCCTTCTGCATTGGCAAGTACACGGTGATTGCGGCGCGACGGAGGACGGGCGCCACATGTCGCATCACGTCGGCGGGTGTGCCGGGCGCCATCTCCACCTTCCCCGGCGACTCCTCCCTCAGCCCCGGGCCAGAGGGCGACTGGACGAACTATGTGCGCGGCGTCGTCTTCGGAATGCTGCCGATGCTGCCCGGAGGGTCGTGCGCCTTCGACGCGGCCGTCGTCTCCGACGTGCCGCTCGGCAGCGGCCTCTCCTCCTCCGCCTCGCTCGAGGTTGCCACCGCGACGCTGCTCGAGAGCATCTACCGGCTCGGGGCAGACCCTAAGGGGAAGGCGCT